ATGTTTCTCAGACTTCATGCAAAATGTGTCTGACAGTGTGGATGTTTCAAGAGCTATTAATGGCACAGTTACCAATCTGAATGATGGAAAGTAACCAATAATTGTAATAGCCTTTTATACTGTACTTTTTATGTTTCTCAGACTTCATGCAAAATGTGTCTGACAGTGTGGATGTTTCAAGAGCTATTAATGACATAGTTACCAATCTGAATGATGGAAAGTAACCAATAATTGTAATAGCCTTTTATACTGTACTTTTTATGTTTCTCAGACTTCATGCAAAATGTGTCTGACAGTGTGGATGTTTCAAGAACTATTAATGACACAGTTACCAATCTGAATGATGGAAAGTAACCAATAATTGTAATAGCCTTTTATACTGTACTTTTATGTTTCTCAGACTTCATGTAAAATGTGTCTGACAGTGTGGATGTTTCAAAGTTGATCTAAAAAAAAACAATCTTAATTTATGGTCTTTCAGCTCATTTGTTTTTCTCTCTATATATTTACTGATAAGTTGTAGGCCCTATACACTGCATATACACTTCAACAAAGCTGGTCATCCCATTGAGCATTTTAAAGTTATCCCCCTAATACATACCCCCTCAAATGCCAGTCAAAGAATTGAAATTGAAAAAGATACAATTTTTATAATTAGATTGTACAAGTCCTTTGGGTGTTAACAAACTGTTCGGCTTTTTATAAGTTATAAAATATCATTTTTTTCCATTTCTTTTAATGTTTTTAAAAATTGTTTGAGTTATTTTGTTTAATGTTTTTTTGAAACGATTATTCATACTAACTGTATTTTTATATTTCTTTTAACAATATTTTTATTTCCTTAGTTTTTAATCCACAGCTCACCAATTTTTCTTTAGTTTTATTATATAGTCGGTACAGTATTATTTAGATCTTATTTTTCTCGTACATTGTATTCCATTCAGGACATCATGCAGCAATTTGTCATTAACCAACAGGCTTGTTTTCGGCGTGAAAAGTACACTTGCTCAAAAATGAAAAATAAAACTTAAAGATTTTTAATGTGATTTATCTCCACAAGTCTAATTGCTTTATGTATTTTTTTTTCTTTCCTTTGTACAGAGGGTGCTATTGCTTGTTGGATTTGATATTGATGCTTTGTGCGCATGCAAAATATTACAGGTAAGTGACGTAAAATACACTAATGCTCTTACGCTTCAAATCAAAGATATTTAAATGTTGCTTTTGTTTTTCCGACATGTGATTAGACAGACAGGGTAAGTTAAATTTTTTGAAGACTATATCATAATTCTGAGGTTTAATTGGGTTGTTTTAGTTTCGTTTCGACAGTAACCATTAGTGTTATATTTAGCATTTCTAATTAATAACTTAAAAATAAAGCTTGCTGTTTGGCTGAAATATGAGGATATTTCAGAGTTTATGTAATTTTGAAGGTTGGGGTTTATAAATTACTGTATTGTAAGAACTAGCTTTTGCTTTTTAATTTTAGTAGCATTTTTTTGATAAATAACATGTAGGCCTTCAAAAATGCCCTTACAACACCCCTTCCCCTTCTTTCCCAAAATACATCCTTTATTTTTCAGGAAGTCATCAATTCATTTCTCACAAGCTCTTGTAAGGTGCTGTAAAAAATTCTAATCTTTCAAATTGACTTTTAGTGACAACCTCGAATCATTTGGAATATATCGTGGAATTTGAGTTTTCTGAACAAATAAGAAGCAGAGAGCTCCTGTGCTGTTATATAAGTTGGTAACTTAAACATTAATCGTGAGATAACATTCTATTGTCCCAAAATTATTTTCCCTCAACCAAAAATAACTTGACGTCTTTAAGAAAATAAGTTATTATCTTCAAATACTAAAAATATTGACAAGTGTATTTGATTATTTTTTTAGTCTCTACTGCAGTGTGACAATGTTCTTTATACATTGGTACCAGTGGCAGGAAAAAGTGATTTACAAGAAGCTTTCCGAGAACATGGAGATCAGGTAAATATTTATCGGTTATTTTCATGATATTGTACATCCCCTGGTGGGTTATTGATAAGTTTACAGACTTGCAACACTAAAATCTGGGATTTAATTTCTCCTTGGTAGAGACAAAGTGTAGATAACTCATAGTGTAGCTTTGTACCAGAAAAACAACTTGTGATATATTAAATCTTGAATATTTTTCCATATAAATGTAAGGTGAGAAAATTTTACTATCTCACATCCATTCAGAAGTATTAATAAATGATTGAAAAACAAATTACTCGAAATGAATAATTCTTACACCGTACAATAAAAAAACAATTGTTTGGCAATCCACAGAGAAGTCTTGAGAGCTGTTTTCTGACTGATAAAACCAGATGTTGTGTTACAGTTGAGAGTAGCAATGATATTTATTTAACTTGATGCTTAAAAACCGAGATTAATGTAGTTTGGAGTATAAATGATTGTAAGCTACAAAGATTTTTTAAAATATGAATTTGTAGTGCAATTCACTTTCAGTATATAATATTTTTTTTCTATAGGTGAAGTATGTGGTGATGATAAACTGTGGAGCGACCATTGACGTGGTAGAGTTCCTTCAACCTAAAGAAGAAACTGTTTTCTTTATAGCCGACAGGTTATCTATTAAATCACTCTAATTACTTACATTAAACTGATTTATTTATTTTTGTTGACCCGGCATGGCCAGGTGGTTAGGGAGCTCGACTCTCAATCTGCGGGTCGCGGGGCGAATCCCCATCCCACCAAACATGCTCACCCTTTCAGCCATGTGGGTGTTATAAAGTGACGGTCAATCCCACTATTCGTTGGTAAAAGAGTTGGCGGTGGTTGGTGATGACTAGCTGCCTTTCCTCTTACACTACTAAATTAGGGACGACTAGCACAAATAGCCCTCGTGTAGCTTTGCATGAAAATCCAAAACAAACAAATTATCTTTGTTATTATCTTAAGTTCTAAAATGCTGTTATCAACCTATAATTTTCTAACTTGAGTGTTACAAAATTTGTAGAAAGGTTAATTATGATGTTGACATGCATCTCTGTATACATTATTTAATAAACGTGGTCTCTCTTTTTTTTTCTGCACACAACTTATCATTAAATGTAATAAATTATATTAAATTTTGTATACATATTTCTACATAGAAAAACTTTGTATTTTGTTAAAGGAGGAATTAAAACTTTTCTTTACAAATTTGCATTTTAAACTTTGAAAATTTGTAATAAGTATATGAACATTGTGTAGTGAACATATTCATTAAGGGGGATCGTCCCAGTTTTGATCAATTCCTCCAATCTGGACTGATAATTGTAGACTTTATTTTTATGTTTGGTAGTGTGACTTACTGTAAAACGTAGAAAACTAACTTGACACATCAGATTTCAAATTTAAAAAAAAAAAGATCAAATGTATTTTATGAGCTTTTATTGAACTGAAAAATCTTCTGTACTTCACAAAATTTTATTATTTTACACTTTATCTTGTAGCAGTGACTGGTGTCAGTGAATGCCTCACAAAATGCTACTATGATATTTTTCCTCGTTATTGTACACATCAATGGGTCGGTGGCTAAGAATTATGAAATGATACTTCAATATGTAATGAAGCTACGTGAAGAAAAAATAAAGACTATGAAGCAGCTAATAAACATGAAATCAGAAAATTATGCATACTGCAGTCTGTTAATCTAAACCCTACATTACACCTTCATCCTATATTATGTTGTGTTAGTGAATTTGTCTGCAAGTATCTCACGCACTTTTGGAGTTAGCAAAACCAGTCTTGGCACGCAGACTCGAGATTGCCCAGAGGGTGTGCTTATCTAATGGTATAGAGGGGGGGGGGTCTTATCTATAATGAAGAACAGGTGAAACTCCTGATGAAGCCAGGTGATGAAGAAGTACCTGCATTTGAAGATCTTTTTAGAGATGATGAGGTAAGACCGTTCTCTGAAGAATTTTTTCGATTGAATTAAAAGTTTGATGCTAACAGTATAGAATCTGGTTGTAAGATAGACAAAACAGTCTTTCCAGACAGTATTTTTTCTCATTATAGGGTTTTACTGTTTTAATTTCTCTTTCATTGGGAGGAAAATCAGCTCATAGATATTATAGGCTCAGTTAGCATTACTTCTATAGTAAGAAAAAATTCTAGAGCATCATAACAAAACACTTGCAGTGTATAATATGATATTCTTTGCCTAAAAATGTATAGCAAAAGAAAGTTTTGATATTAGAGAAAAAACACGGGTCTTTCAGACTCAAATAGAAACAATTATTTCGGTCAGTGCGTCAACTCTTTTTCTGTGGTTACTCAACAGTGCTTGATTCCTCACATCTGAGTCGTTTTCATGTTTTCCAAAGTTACAGATACTTCGAGGTTTTCTGTGAAATTCCAAGCACTATGGCGTAAGATTTATCTTGTTCGATTTATAGATAAACTTGTAATAAACCTTAACTCATTCTAGGTTGTTGGTTCTAACTTGAGAACTTTGCATTTTACAAAAATATCTAAATTTGCCACATTTATTCTTATCTTAGGTTCTTCTAATTAAGTCCCACAATCACTCGTGGGTTTGACAAGGGCTTAGAAAGAAAAATATTTTTTTGAGCTTGCCTTTCTTTGATTAGACTTAGGAAGTTCTGCTTAACTAGTTTGACTTCAGTGCTACGTTACTCTAACTTCAAGGTAATTAGCATAAAACAAACAATTTTGTTACTTCACATCTATGGTCAGGTTGTAAAAATAGGAGAATATCACAAAATTTGGTTGTATTTACTTCCTTTATTACATTTTTCAAAATTAAATGTATATTCTAAATTCACAAATGTCTTAAGTTTTTTTTTCAGCTTTTATAGTCTATAGCTCATTCTCCAGGTTTAGTCCGTGGGAGGCGAGTTTATTAGACTCCCCTCATAAAACAAGAATTAATTTAAAATCTTGGTACTTAGTTGCGGAAATGAAAGTAGTATTAAGGTACACATAGTCACAAAGCAATTATTTTATGTATGTATACAGTCTGAAGAAGAGTTATCGGAGGATGAAACTGGAGAACATCGTCCACGAATCACCGAGCAGATCTTAGAAAAGCGTAGAGAGAGGAGACTGTGGGAAGAAAAAAGGTTAGTATTTATTACTTTACTGAACTGAAAGTAAAGTTGAGCAACGAGTGTTATGGTATTATGACGGAATCATTATCCAGGCCAGAATAGGAATGTCAAAAGAAAAAATTACAGGGCTATATCATTCACGCTGAACTGAGTTGTGTTATTTTTAATCAACTATGTATTTCTCACTAATACTTAAAACATACTAAATTTTCATTGTAAATTAGCCTTAAATTCATACTGTAACCTGTGCACATTCGGTTAAATCAATACTGAGTTTTGTAATTAAACTGGTGTAGAATAAATCAACTCTCCAAATTCATTTTATAAATAAACTGAAATAGAATTTTCATGTTTCAAAGTTGTTTGAGAACTCTGTACCACAACATCCCCCCCCCAAAAAAAAAATATGTGAAAGATACAGATATTTACATCTGTGAAAATTGATTACTGTTTGTTATATTACATTTTTATTTTATTGTTGGTCATTTTCAGACACAAGATAATGTTCGATTACACCCAGTTTAGCTTCTTCGGACAAGCTGTAAGTTTATTTTATTTTCAATTTTAATAATATTAGCTTTTAGTATTTAAGAACGAATCTTTCACCACGTATTAAAATACATATAAAACACATAAAACGTATGTAACAAAGGTGTTACAACACTGTAAACTCCACAATGTTTAGGCATAAAAGTACACTTGCCAATGTTTACTGAGAAATGATATTGTTAATAGAGTGTATTGTATATTGATCACAAAGATAAATTTAAATGAATGCGTGTATCGTGATGATATAACCCGAATATTCTTACTTTGTATCTACTGACTTTTGGTTTGGTTGTACCAGAAATTGGAGATCTCTTCATTTCACATGGTCAGGTGTTAAAGAAACTACAGATATGCTGGAATTGTGTTTTTTATTCATATTTCATTGAAATTTATTTTAAAAGCTTAAATTAATGAAAAAAATATACTTGCCATTGTGCAATTTTTATCAGAAAGACTTCCACTAATGAAACTTAAGTGCCTGTATAGTTAGTTTGCCAATTGTAAGGATTGGAATATGGATCCTGTTGAATTCTGGTGAGAGAGAGAGAGTAACACAAGTTTTATAGTTTTGACTAACTTGTATTTTATTGTACTCTGCATAGTTCATTTAGTGAAGTATAAACTGGTTCAAGAATTAGTGATCCTGTTGTATTAAGTTTCTTTAATGCCCTGTGGAATAAGTATAAACTGGTTCAAGAATTAGTATTCCTGTTGTATTAAGTTTCTTTAATGCACTGTGGAATAAGTATAAACTGGTTCAAGAATTAGTATTCCTGTTTTATTAAGTTTCTAAAATGCACTATGGAATAAGTATAAACTGGTTCAAGAATTAGTATTCCTGTTGTATTAAGTTTCTTTAATGCCCTGTGGAATAAATATAAATTGGTTCAAGAATTAGTGTTCCTGTTGTATTAAGTTTCTATAATGCACTATGGAATAAGTATAAACTGGTTCAAGAATTAGTATTCCTGTTTTATTAAGTTTCTTTAATGACCTGTGGAATAAGTATAAATTGGTTGTCGGTAGCTTATTTAATCTTTTTGGCCCCCCTAGTGGTGCAGCAATAAGCCTTCAGGCTCACGCTGCTAAAAACCTAGTTTTGATACTCATGGTGGGCACAGCACAGATGACCCATTGTATAGTTTTGCGCTTAACAACGAGCAATCATCTTCTGTACAGTGTAAATAATTCCTTTTTTTTAAGAACTTTTCACCAGAAACATTGGCAAAGGACATTCTGAGAGTGACAATGATGCCACTATATTTAATTGCTACTACAGTTTATTTTTTTCTACATTATTTAAAATACATTTAGAAATGAAAAGCTGTTTGTTTTTTTTTGGAGGGGGGCGGTTGAAATCAGAATATAATTCTGTTCGCTTACACTGAGGGGTACTGCATTAAATGGTTTTATTTATGCAATACATGTATGTCAAAAAACCTAAAAGTCTGTAATGCTGACAATTTTTTGTGTGGAATATTGTCTAAGTACATTACTGCTAATTTCAAAACATAACATGCTTTGATTAAAGAATTACCGAAATGGTAGTTACTTATAAAAATACATGAAAAAAAAAAATGTCTGTAAAAGGTTACTGCGTTAGTGATATTTAAATAACAGTAAAAAATAAAGCAGTGTGTTAACTTTAGCTTCGAGGGCACATGTAGGAAAGTAATCCAAAACGTATTTCGTTAGAATACTTGTGTACATAATTATTCAGTTCTTGTGTACTTCACTAGAACGCTTTATATAGATAATCATACATTTTTCACACGTTTCAAACACGTAAAAGGTTTTTTAAGACTTGTCAGGTAGACTAGAATTGTGTTTCACTGTGGAGGCTCAAAGGTCTCCTCATCATCCACTGAGGCCCCAGTGCACTGGTCAATCTCCTCTACTATCCCCAGTTACTTCTGTGGCTACCCCGGGGGGGGGGGGATTTGTACTAGAAAACAAACCCCGTTTTAACACTCACCTGGGGTACTTGAGCGAATGTTCCACATTATGCTAGTTTTTGAGTGGGGTATGGACAGAGTTTGAAATTGAGGGGCTGTCCAGGAACACAAAATCCGACACCGTGTTCAGGTTTGGTGACCCAGAAAAACCTACTCCTAGAACCCCATCATGTTTGGGTGACCATTCAGGCAAATTTTAGACACCCCCCTTCTATACCATTAGATAAGCACACCCCCCTGGGCAATCCCGAGTCTGCGTGCCAAGACTGGTTATGCTAGCTCCAAAAGTGCGTGAGATATTTGCAGAAAAATTCACTAACACAACATAATATAGGATGAAGGTGTAATGTAGGGTTTAGATTAACAGACTGCAGTATTGATAACAATACAATGAATGTTATAGCTGGTATTTTTAATTAATTTTTTATTCTTTTTTTTTTTTTCCTGTTGTCAGACAGCATTGTTGATGTATGAGCTGGCCTGGAAACTGTCTCGAGATACCAATGAATTGTTATGGTAAGTTGGTTTTTGCTGCTGTGTACAGGTTTCAGTTTAAACAAATTCCCATCAGCACATATTTTATAAGTTTCTAACCATATGCATGAAGTAGCATGTAGCAATTACTGTTTGCTGGTTGTATAGATGTTTCTAAAACGATTACTGTTTGCTGGTTGTATAGATGTTTCTAACCATATGCATGAAGTAGTGTGTAGTGATTACTGTTTGCTGGTTGTATAGATGTTTCTAACCATATGCATGAAGTAGCATGTAGTGATTACGTTTATACAACCAGCAAACAGTAATCGTTACATGCTACTTCATGCATATGGTTAGAAACATCTATACAACCAGCAGATGTTTCTAACCATATGCATGAAGTAGCATGTAGCGATTTCTGTTTGCTGGTTGTATAGATGTTTCAAACCATATGCATGAAGTAGCATGTGTAGCGATTACTGTTTGCTGGTTGTAAGTTCTCTTAGTTTCTCTAATTACAAATTAGATTTTGCTGTGAAAAAATTTACACGAATGAAAATTAGCAGAGTGTGTCAGATGGCTTGTTAGAGAAGAATACTAAATATTTAGATTATGGACAAACTGTAGAAAAGTAAAAATCAATGAACTCTAGAAAAAACATCCATGTACGATAAGCATTTCTGTGTGTTGAATTGTACTAAAACTGAAGTTATACTTTAAATCATTTAATTTAATTAGTTTACTAAATACCAAGTCTACTAAAAGATCTTTTCTTTCTCTAGGTGGGGAATAGTAGGCTTAACGGATCAACTGCAAAACAATAAAATAGAGCAAAATAAGTATGTACTTGAAGCGGGTAGCTTGCAAGGTCACGTTTCTCGTCATAATCACAGGTATATGTCGTCTATGCTATACCAGTGTACCATTTCTACTGCATTATTAGGATTACCAAAGTATGTCTTTGTGTTATTAATTCCTTATAAATATTTTTCTTCATAAATAATGACGTGAATAGACTGAATACAAGGTTTGCTTGTAGAATGCAGTTTTTGGCCAGATTGCATTATGTCATCAACTAGGGTCCATTGCAAAAATGTGACAACTGAATAAGAAATTTGTGTGTGCTAATTAATATACTATTTATTACCTCCCACTGCCAACCCAGTTCTGTTTTATTAAGAATTTAAGCCCTAAATAGGCCTAATTTTAGCTTTTTTTTTATGATTTGGCTGAAGACTTATTTTGATAATTAAACCTTGTGCTTATGTACTGGAAATGAAATTAATTCAAATATTTTATATTTTTTAATCAAGTTTTTAAATATCATTTAGAACTTCAATCGGAGTACTTATTCTTCAAGCTATGGACGTGTGTGTATATATATAAACAGTTGATAACTGTTGTCTTGATTTGGCATGCTTTTGGTTTAATGAAGATACAGATTGTAAACTTTTTAAAAGAAATTACCTTCAATTGACTGTAAATTAATGGTGTTTGAAATATGTGTATTTCTTTTCTTAAATGTTGTTAATTTCTTTTAAGAATTTTGAGTAACATCTTAATATTTTTTTTTCATTCCAGTAATGAAAGTGAAGAGGCAATCGTCTCAGTAAACTGTATGAAAATATCGTTTGACAAAGAGTATCCTTTTTACTCATTAGTGTACATTAATCCACCTTTAACATCTTACAATGTTCTGTGTTTTTTAGTTAAACTCGGCAGTCGTGTTTTCTTTACAGTTTAAAACAGAAACCATTCATCTTTTGTATTTTAATTGTTTTTCATCATCTCTGGTCGCAAAACTGTCGAGAAAACATTCTTTGGGTACATAAAAATCTTGATTACGAAGATTAAAATATAACTGCTTTTTTCTATAAGTTACTAATGGAGGAATTTAAAAAAATCTTGTTTTCCTTATTTTTTGATTTTATAACACATTATTTTAACAAAAAATTGTTGTTTATATTAAGATTATTATGTAATATACTTATTATCCTTTGGATCTGATTTTGAAAATTTTGTATAACTTAATTACAATTCATTTGTGTGTGTAATTCCTTTATTCATTTACTGTTTTGTTTTAATAGCCATAAAAATTATCCTATAATGTTTCAGTCTAAAATAACATTTATTCTATTTATAATTTGTAAATAGGAATTTTATGAAATATATTAGAACCAATAATTATTTAAAACATATGATGATAATTTAAGGTCACAATCTAGTCTATTTTATTTATATATTTTTGAGTTTTTGTCTTTATTTAGATTTTTTTTTACCAAATATCTCGGTTTTAACATGTTTATAATCAAAATCTTAACAGAGGTTAATTAATGAGCAATAATAAGTACATATTTTTTAACTGTAACATTTGTTCAATACCTTTTTTTGTGTGACAGATAAACTAATCTTTTACGTATTAAACTAAAGTCTTATATTTCTGTGATACTTTGACCCAGTTCTGGGTTATTTCAAATTAATTAAGTTCTTCATTAAAGTTTTTTAATTGATTTTTTTTTTTGTAGAAATTAACTGGAGATTTCACGTTGTCACATAATTAGAAAGAAATACTTAAACTCCTTTATTTGTCAATCGTATCATTAAGATAAAATTTATTTTCATCTTGATAATGCAATTCTGACCTATTTCTTCGATTCATTTGTCAAAGTTCCTAAGACCAAAGAAATTTGAAGTAACAACAGTTCAAACTGCATATCATATTTTTTGTAGAATTTAAGAGGTGAAAGATTAGACCTTGAAAGGATCTAATAAGATTTTACTCATGATATGAGCTGACAAAATACAATTCCTCAACTACAATCAGACTTCAGTTAGCTCTGTATCGTCACTGGTCTCTCATTGAAAGTTTGCGTAACACTACTTACACTGCTTGCAAGTTCAAGCTATGGACATTAAAGGGACAGAAAAAACTTCACGAATTTTTAGCTGAATTAGGGTAAGAGTCTGTTTGATATAAAAACATGATATAGTAAGAGTGACCAGAACTTTGAAACTGTTGAAATATAAAAGATTTGTGTTTTCAGATTGTGGAACACAATCATACACCATTACCCATCTGTGAATTATTTGTGTGTGGTATGGTAGCAGTCATCTACTGGAACTATTTTATATCAGTAATATTTGAAATTAAATTTTTTACGTCAGTTTATAACAAGAAGCAAGATTTCGACAAACTATATAACTTAACATTATAATTAATTACTTCAGAATGGTTTCCCCCCCCGATTTCAAAGATGCAAAAAGTTATTATATACATTTTGTATTGTAAACATAGTGTAAAACTGAAATAGAAGAAAAGCTTGTGTTATCTTCAATTGTAGTTTCCGGTTTTGTGTATAGAAACGATGGATTTATAGTCCTAAAAATGCAGTTTCATATATATACGATATATCTATTAAATATAATTATTTGACAACATGACTAAATATTGTTGATTTTTATTTCAGTCTTCCTATTGTACAATGTAAACAGAAATTTTCAGCCATGGATATGCAGCTTCGAACTAATGTCAAGGTGTGGATAGAAGATATGTCGGAGAAATATGGGTAGGTGAAAAAATAACTGAAAATGTTTTTTAAATTTTGATTATCAAGAGTGAAGAATTTATATTTTTATCTTACATTCTTGCTTCATATTTCTAGTTTATTAATTTAGTAATATTTCGCAAATGAATTGAAGCGTATTTAGGGTTCTTTATCCTCACAAAAGCATGGAATGTACAGAGTATAAACCTCGTTATGTATGCACATTAGCTTTTGAGAAGTTTTATTTATTTTCAGTTGTAATTTTATTATGATCACATTGTTTTAAGCAGTAGTTTTACGTATGTATTAGGTTCTTTGGATACCGTAGGTTTAGAATTTCGTTGTTAGTTTAAAATGGTGATTATTATATCGGCTGAATTTTCCTTACAAGTTTTTTTTTTTTTCTCATATATTTTAAACAGGCTTGAGAAAATTGTCTATGGTTCTTTCATCTCTCATTATGGCTTTCAGCATAAATACTGTGCCACAGATGTTGTGTTTGCTGTTGGGGCTCTTCTAGAAGCAATAGTAAGTTCTTAAAATATTGAAATATGGTTTAGTTACCATATAAAAGTGTGCAAAATAGACTAACAAGTTTGGACTGGCTGAGGAGAAGTGCTATAACTACGCCTCTTTCTCTGCCCCTCCAGGTGGATAAGCAGTAACTCTGAGAACTTATAATGCTAAAAATTGGGATGGGCACAGCACAGATAGAGTATTGTGTTTAATAACAAACACACAGAAGCTATAATTATTTTAAAGCTGGGTACAAAAAAAAATCACTTGCATTTTGTTTTTGCCATTTTCCAAATTTTTAAAATAATTATAAAACACAACTGAATACACCTTAGGTGAAGCTTATTTTTTTATACAAGCTTGTTTTATTAGGCATAGAAAAAAAATGTTAGTTAGAGATTGTAAGTTTGCTAGATTTTAAACTTTAAGATTAGAGTCAGGGTGATTTAAAGAGTCTTTTTTTTTTAATTAGGATAAAGAAAAAACACCTGCTGACAAGTTCTTAGATGCTTTGAACGCCCTCTCTTGGTGAGTTCTTTATATAAACAATAATGACATCAAGAGCTTAAAATAAACTGACATAAAAGTGTAATGTGACCATAAAAGGATTTTATTTGAAGTTCAGAAACAATATGTGAATCTGAGTTCTTGTTCACGTCTTTCTGAACTGACAATAAAGAATGGGCTTTCAGATAAAAAAACCCATCATTTGATTGAATAATATTTTTTTTGTAAGTTGTTTTTTTTTCATTTATAATTGTCGGCTTGATTTAGTTCAATATGTCAAGAAAGAAAAAAACTTGTAGACCTTATATAATGATATATTAAAACACTTATCCCTCTTTCTGAGAGTTTTGTGTTATGTTTTGTTTTTAGGAGTAACATCAACATGTTGCAAAAGGGTATCGAGAAAGTTAAATCAATGCTAGTGGCCATCTTTGCACAAGTTCAGTCGTTCCTTCACATGAATCATGTAATTTCAGCAGGACCCTTTCTCTATGCAGTTGTTCAAGAGGTGGGTACACGTATGAAACATTTACTTCTACTAAAATCATAATTAATATGCAACGTTAAACTGGTACACAATTAAAAACATTTTATTTAGGCCTATCTATGGCCTTTAAAAAGTTGACGACTCTACATGTTGTAATGTCAAAACATGTAGTCGTCGTCAACTTTTTGAAGGCCATAGATAGGCCTAAATAAAATGTTTTTAATTGT